GTCTACGATTACAGTTCGTTTGTATTGTGTTAGAAATGTTATAATTTAAAGAAGTACTGTTACGATAAAGATACTAATTTGGCCGGAAATGTTTTGCGGGTCACTAAGAAGTTAAGAAAAATACACTTAAATAGCTATACTCATTAACAGGTTGATTTTTAGTTTTGCTTTAAGTAGGTAGCTTGCTCTGATCGGAAGTTAATATTAATTGTATAACAGCAGTATTAAAACTGTTATTAGGATATTTTAATTACCAGGTTGATTTTTAGTTTTGCTTTAAGTAGGTAGCTTGCTCTGATCGGAAGTTAATATTAAGTTGATAACAGCAGTATTAAGACTTATTAGGATATTTTAATTACTAGGTTGATTTTTAGTTTTGCTTTAAGTAGGTAGCTTGCTCTGATCGGAAATTAATATTAAGTGTATAACAGCAGTATAAAGATTGTTAGTAGAATATTTTAATTTCCATGTTTTATAACATATTAAAAGTATTCAATGCATGCAGCCTATTGGCCTATTGTCAATTAGTGTTTATCAATCTAAAGCTCTGATACACAAGGTTTTAACCAAAGAGACGAACCAGACTGGTGACATACATAATCTAGAAAGAGATTCTCAAAAGAACTAATTTTTCAACACTCTTTAAGGAAAAGGTCTGACTTAATTTTCCGTTAAAAAACCTTCCTAAACATTTTCACGTATGTTGTAAAGTCAAAATGTGTTTAAGGTTTTGTCTCCCAGTCAAGTTGTGTTGACGCAAAATCGAAATTAGCATCCATTTTTTATCAACCACAAAATTATGACTAAACATCTTATGGATTTTAAATTTTCCAATAATACTTTTCATTCGTGAAGAGCTAGAAGTCTATATTATGAACCAATTAAAAGTTATGACCAAAAATATTGTATGAAAAAACCTCTTTCACCTCGCACCTTTACTTATACTTTACAATGGTTTTCGTCTATACTTAACTAACTTTTGTAACAGAAGTCAAACAGCTTTTTTGGTGTAAATATAAAAGAGCTTAAACTAATTACATTTTATATCACAGTTTATCATTTTATATGAACAGTAAACAAATTTGCTACATTGTTAATTTATGTGGGTCATACTCCCATGTAAAAGCAACCAAATAAAGAAATAAGCAAATCCCTTTCTCACACACTGTCTAGTCTGACCAGATAGCTAGTATAATCTCAATTTTATTAACAATACACTGGATATTACTTCAAAATAAAGTACTTCCTTTTATTATTATACACAAGTTGACTATGAGCAAAGTGATATTTGGAACAAACTGAGAAGTATTTTAACACTGGGCATTTTCTGATTATGTGCTCAAGCTAAATGCTGACAAATAGCTTTAGCGTAGATCCATTTTGTCAAGAAGTACTGAATTTTATATTGTTATACATGTTATTGCTGATCTAGAAATATTCAGAGTACATTGCAAATGGCTGCCTTCCTACTTTTCATTACAGTAAAAATAGTACAACAGATTTTCCTAAACATTTTATAATGAATCAAAGTAATACTTCATGAAAGAATGTATACAGAATTATTAACATTTCCAAGCAGGAGGATGCTGTTCCAATTTACACGAGGTGTGTTTGATGTTTGTTTTTATTAGCTAGCAATCCACTTCTTGCAATAACTGTTTAACTACATATACGTACATACAAGGTTTAATTAATAAAGTTTACGAAAGTTCAAAGATTGTGTATGTTTTTGTGTTACGACAGAGTATGGTGTGTTACACAGCTTCTGATTAGAAACTACGCTTACATGACAAAATGAAAACCTGTCGCGATTTTCACGGATTTTCTTAGAGCTTTGTGATTCAAAAACTTATAGAAAAACTCCCCACAATCTATGTTTACAAAATACTTTAAAATGTTTAGTGAAGTCATCTCTTCTAGAAAATCAAATCAACATTTTACCTTAAAAGGGATTGAAAAAAGGCTGAAAATCATCTTGCTCCTTCTAGACTAATATCTTTTGTCAAGTGCATTCGTTAAGCTACTCTAACTTGACCGATCTCGGTCTATTTGTACTTTCAATGGAAAAAAGAAAAGTTCATTGTATCAGTTTGCACGGCTTTAATATCTTGAGAACTTTTACTTACATACATGATCAGCTATAATAATAATGTGGGCTATGACGAACAAGTAACACTACAGTATTTATTTTAATGTTAAGTCTGTCGAAACAGACGACCTAATATTAAGCTCTTGTTTTGTGAGAAGCCTGGCATATCATTTACTTGCAGCTGAACGTGTTGGATTGTTGTCCTAAACGAAGTACGTTTCCTAATTCTAGTCCGGAATTAAATGAAGTCACAGTAAGGAAAAAATAAACATTTCATTTTGAAATACAGATGTTTTGTTTTTACTGTCTTTACAGCACTACATTGAATTATTCAGCATCATTTTTCCCCTTTTCAAAGTAACAGTAGTTTAACTGCGATGTTTAATGAACACTTGTTGGTCGAAATCAAGAATAACACACTAATGCTTGTGACAACAGAGCTATTATTTACAACGCCAACCTTTGTATAGTAAGTAGTCCTTATGCAACTAAGTGCAACAGGAGAGCCGGTAATCTGTCGCTGATCGAATGAAAAAACAAACAAAACTATTATTAGTAACAACATCATACTGGTTGATTATCAGATCTATCATTAAACAGTTTATATATTCTTAATTTCTGAATATTTAAAGTTATATAATATTGTGACTAATTAGATCGTAGAATTTTGTTTTTAATTTTGATTTCTACTTTCTTAAAATATCTTTATCAGTCAACCTATTGAAAATGTTGTCCTGAACTGCTCATATACGAATTAATATAAGTATTTTCCATAATCGTGTGTCCAAGCATACGAACGTAAGAAATATGAAACAAGATCTATTGTTAAAATTTATCAGCTTGAAACAAAGTAATAAACAAAAATTAGCTGCTTAACTTAAAAGAATAATAAAACTACTGAATATTTTGTGTGCATCTTTAAATCATCTAAGATAATACAAGTTAACACAAATTCTCGCTATTCCTAAAAGTAAAACAGTAAAAGAACGCTTACACTTTGCCAATAATCTCTCAAGTCTCTGTGAACACTTACACTTCAGTGTCACGATGTGGAGACTTATAAATGTTGCACAGTAAGACAATAACAAAAAACATTCGCATTTGACATATGAAATAGACCAAACATCTTTCATAACGTTCAAAGTCCATAGCCAACCGTTGGATTATCTCCTAACTTCACCATAAGTTATCACCAAAACATTTACTGATGGGAAAAGTACAGACTTTTTCACTTACACCATGTACAAGAGTAAAGAAGATATTACCATTATCAGTCAATATCAGTGGTGTTTACCTTATTGATGATTTAAGAATAAAAATAATGTGAACTCAAAACAGGTTTCATTACCATAAGCCCACACTATTTCGTTGGTTAAAATAACGCAATGCATTACAATTTACTTACAATTCTACATTTTTAGTACTAGAGTACGTCTGCAATGTGAAATAAGAATTGTGCCTTGTTGTTAATTGATATTTGCTGAAAACAAAAACGGACATTAAAACATTTTATTCGAAATAAAGAACGCTAAAATTGTGCTGCATTGATACCATCTCAAAATATATCTTCTTAAGTCTCAACAATTAATGCGACAGCATTATCTGTCAGCTTTAACATGAAGCTAAATTGGGCTATATGCACTATGTCCACTGCAAGGAATCGAGCCCCGGATTTTAGCGTTCTAGCTTACCGCTGACCTACTGGAGACAATGTGGCAGTATCAAATGTAAACTAAAAATTAAATAAATACAGAATAAAAAACATACAATGGTCTTGCTGCTATTTGTTATGTCCAGAAAATATAACTGGATATAAAAATGCTTTTTAATAAATTGGATCTAGATGTTTGGCAAATTGCCAAATAGGTCACATTTGATATTGATTAACACTGTTATGATATGGTAAAATATACATGTATTATGTAAAGTGGCACGTCGTATGTAACTACAACAGAAATATCTAAACTGAATGCACTAACCGTTTTTAGGATTTTAATAATTGAACTTCTGCTTACCTGCAATACACAACTGACCAGTCAGTCAACAACACATGCTACAGAATTTCTAGCTGGTTTTGTAACACGTCACCGTAGGAGCACCTGATTTACGTCAAGAACGTTCTTTTGTAACATTTAAAGTAAAGGTACACCCGATTTATGTAAGTTACTCAACTATCATACTAAAGCACTACGAAATCATAACGTGTCTTTCAGTTTTAAATACTTAATACGATGGTTCTAGCATAGTTCTGCTCTTGAGAAAAATAACAGTGTAAAGTATCTTGTCAAAACACATACATGGCATTCACGAGCTGCTGCAGATTGGTATCAAGTATGTGTCACGTGGCATATGCGCATACGCAGATGCAGTACATAACGTAAAAAGTGCTCTAGGCACTGAAATACAGAATGCTAGTGCATTGAGCGATAGATGTTTGTAAAATATTATTTCGTTGCTACTTATTTCTCACAAATTATAAAAGTGTTCATATAAAGAGAATTTTTTTGGAGACTTAAGCAATCAAAATCTTTTTTTCAATTTAACTGTTCAGAATTTCCATGGAAAAATATTTATTTCCACTAGAATCAAAGTGTGTATCAGGAATATGCCAAATTTATGTGAAAACAATCTTGTTTTATTTGTTTGCTGTTAGCACAAAGCTACACGATGGCTCTCTGTAATGTGTCCATCGCAAGTATCGAAATCTGATTTGTAGCGTTATTAGCCACTAGACTTACCTCTGGGCCAAACTATCTAATCATATAACTTGGTTGTTGAAAGTTGTTTTATTTAAAAAGCTATAAATAAATGTAGTTAATTTCAAATCAGTATTTGCAATAACATTAAGTTAATGTGTTATAAACTAATTACGTCTTCAAAGAGTGTTTTTATTCCAGTATATTCAATGTAAGTCTTTGTATAAAAGGTACTAATAATATAAATTATAGCAGTTGCAAAATATTCTGCTGTTATGTATGATAAGTATTAAGCAACAGAATGAATTTGAAATATTAGTTAAAAGAGATTTGTATCAGTTGATTATATCAGCAGTTAACATAGCCATATACTACTTTCCAAAGACTCCGACATATTGATGGCTGGTTACCAATGTCAGATTAATTGGTCATATATATATATATATATAAATCATTATGAATTATGGTAAATGCAAATTTTTTAAAACTTTGAGTAGAGTAGCCCTTTTGCAACACACAAAGATGTCTGTAAATTTAATATTAGAAATTATGAACTCTACATCATGTTTATTAGGGGTCCCCCAGTGGCAGAGAGGCATGTCTGCGGACTTACAACAGATAGCCCATTGTATAGCTTTGTGCTTGATTACAAAACAATGTTTATCAGGGATCTTTACCAATGAATGTAGATAGCTTGTTTTATGAGAAACTCGTAAATGAAATGAGTATTAGACATATACAGGAGTTTATTTTTCCAGCCATTTTAAAACTTGTAAAAACCTAAACTTATATATATATATATTTACCGTTAAGGGGTTATCTATGTGATATGTTTCCACCATAAAATGAGCCTTTCTATACCTTAGATGTACATAAATTTTTTTTTCAAAAGTTCAGTACATGGTATTGCATTCAGTAACACGTTTTTATTTGAAGCAGCACTAAACTGTGAATCTAAGGCTTATCTGGGTATTTCATTTTATTCAGCGTTTTCTCACTTCTCAAATCATGTGCCGTGATTTCATTTGAATTCGTTTCTTATCATTTATGTAAACAACGGATTTTATGCTTGTAGAAATCTGGTATTGCAAGTTTCAAGTCTTGCTTGAATTCATTTCGCTAAGACCCTGCTTAACTGATCCCATACAACCTATTGTTCATAGCAGTGGTAATTACCTGTCTGAAAATTCTATATAAAAACTAAAAGTAAGGATTAAATCAAGGTTTTTATTTTGAGTAAACTAGAACAACAACAACTTTACACAAATTTCCAAAATTGGAGTTATGAGAGCATGTATGGACGTCATTTTAACAATGAAAACACCATATTTAATATGAATTATGATCAGATTAATCTGCAAAATGCTTCACTTGATAATGACATTTTCCAAGTCAAGTTTTAAAAGCTTTTCCACGTTTGTAACCTTAAGGACTTGCAACAGCACTGTATTCATATGAAAAAAGTATATAATCACAGTTTTTATTAATAATTGTTCAGAGTCCGCAGAAATACTACATCGAATAAAGCATCATGTCAGCGGCAATTCTATCCAGAGTTTTTGGTTTCCGTTCTTTTCGAAATGAAAACGTCATTTATATCATGGCAAAAGAATTTCAAGTGCAGTGGCTATTGAGAACACCCTCTTATTTTAATAAACCTGGAGATCATAGTGAAAGTAAATAAGACTGTTTGTTAACATTATCGAAACACGTTTATATGGACTAACTCAAAACATGTATTAGACACCACATGTTAAAGAAATCAAGAAGTATCACTACGGAATTTATCAATGCGATGAAATAAATATACAGTTATAATTTTGGACTACTGATTAAGTCTAGGTTAAGTGAAAAGTAGCATATGAAAAAATAAAACCTCTAAAATACCAGCAAAATAAATGTTCCAATATCCCGTATGTTCAGGTTCGTTACATTTCACTTTTTTTTGGGCCCGGCATGGCCAGGTGGTTAAGGAGCTCGACTCGCAATCTGAGGGTCGCGGGTTCGAATCCCCGTCACACCAAACATGCTCGCCCTTTCAGCCGTGGGGGCTTTATAATGTGACGGTCAATCCCACTATTCGTTGGTAAAAGAGTAGCCCAAGAGTTGGCGGTGGGTAGTGATGACTAGCTGCCTTCCCTCTAGTCTTACACTGCTAAATTAGGGACGGCTAGCGCAGATAGCCCTTGTGTAGCTTTGCGCGAAATTCAAAACAAACAAACATGCATTTCACTTCATATCCTTCCTTCTTATATCGCCCTCCCCCAGTGGCACAGCGGTATCAGTCATCAGTAATTACAAGTAAAATCATGAACCAGATTTATAAGAATTTTGGATCTGAGAGAAATACTAGAACACGAAAATACAAAATAATATTAACAGCATAATTGCAATACTATATTTACAGTCCTGATTATCCTTTAAAAGCAATGAGATCCAAAATGTCATCTAAATATTAAACACTTACTATTTGTCATGCTAGATTTGTTGATAACGTTCAAACTGTCTCAGTGGTTAGTCTCGTGTTCAAATCTCAGTTGAGTGGGGATATTTTATCATGATCATCATGTTTATTGCAAGATCTTACAATATTAGGAAAAAACAGAATGGTATTTTTTTCGCAAAATTAAGCTAACTACAATGGTACGACTTGTAGCCAATAAAAACGGGGTATATGAGGGGTTTAGACTTTTCCGGGACCTGCTGATAAAAAACATTGATTTTCTAGGATTTTTTGGAATGAAAAATTGGTTTATAAGTTTATATGACTTTCATGACCTGTTTAAATCCTGATGTAAAGACCCATGGATTGTTTTACCTAATGGTGATAACATTCTGCTTGTTGAATCTCCAGATTCTGGACACTACAGTGACAATGTTTGTTTTGAATTTCGCGCAAAGCTACACGAGGGCTATCTGCGCTAG